GAAATTCTTGTGGCGGCAGCACCAATAAACCCTTTTTACATGTATTTTAATGTCACACAAATAACGTTTTCGCTAATAACGGTGTTTTTCAGACACCTATTAAACGTTATTGGTGAGAGCCTACTGTAGATATAATCCTGACATCTCTGTCCTCTTGTTCAACCTAATTACTGTACAACCCATGTACTGCTCCCCCATTATAATTATGTTTTTCAATTACACTCTAATTTATGTATATATAAATAAAAGAAATAAACTAAAAAAAATAAATATATAAATAAATATTGAAGTGATAACCGTGGTAACATTATGAGATGTTCTTATTACCACCATGCTATTGTACTATTCCAGATGATACTAAATGTTATACAATACTTCCTTGATATAAATGTATAGTATATATCAGGTGCCTAAAAGAGAGCTCAGGTTCTCAACTGGCTCAGCCATGTTGATATTGTTATTATTATCCACTCTGTATCTGTGTTTTTTTGGCTAAATAAACTGTTTCAATTTTGTTTCATTTCACCTACTTGAACTGAAGTCCCCATAGGTACTGGCTGTCATGTATCCCAATAGCATGCCAACCAGGCGACTTTACCTGCAAATTAGTTTTTTACATACCTGCTATAAATGCACTTACCTCAGACGTCTCTTCAAAGCGTCTTCACAGAACAATCTTCTAAATAGGAAATTTATCGTTGGGAGGCCTTAAAAGTCTGAAGTAGTGGGACGTGTTTACTGTCCAGCCAGTGACGTCACAACCAACATGGCCACCGTCGGGAGAGGCGTTTTAAAATAATATACATCAGACGCCGGATTCCTCGATAATACAACTCGTTTGGAAAAAAAAATAATTCCACAAAACATTAAAAAAAAAACATCGCTGGATTTATATTACATTATATAAAAAAAAACCGATAAACCAGAAAATAAAACATCTTCACCCCAAGGAAGACTTACTTAGATCACGTCAGGTTATAACTAAGAGAGATGCATGGTAAAGCATAAATTCTAAAACTCTTGTTCATAAATCTTCGATTGGCAAATTTCAAATTTTCCTGAGGTGTAATATTGTACTGTAACATGGGAATTGAGATGCTTGTAATAGACTGAATGTTTTGTAAAAACGCAAGAAAAAATAAATGAATCATAAAAGTATGTAAACAGCCGAGACACTTGTGTGAAAACTATTGAATTGGGTCTTGATGAAGTCCATTTTAAAATGTACACACATTTTATGATCATGGTCACCATAACTGCACCAGCACACTTATTCAGCTGCCAACACGGGCAGGTAAAAACATTCCTCCGCTATTGCCAGTATCATCGGTGATGAGACGCGCAGAACATACCCACGATCATATTTCACCCAATTCTTTCTGTCAACTGCATGTAAGGCTTACCCAGTCTCCCTCTTAAAGCAAGCCAAACAATGGCTATTTTATACCACTTTTCAGTCGCTAATTTTAGGGTGGATCAAATTATCGGAACTCAGTTTGACGTACCAGGATGAATTAGTGATAAATAAGTGGAGCTTGTACTCACCTGTCACAGTTTTGGCTTACATGAAACACCAGGTAGTAGGTAGTAGACAGCGATCAAACAGGGAGGTACTACCGCCTAGGAAGATATTGGAAGCATAATGTGTTGTCTACTGGTAGACCCTGCTGCCATATGGCACCACAAAAATTTTGACCAAATTCCAGGTTGCTAATCTGACTTTCTGCCTCATTTACACACAATTGCAGTGTCTCAATTGTCTTTCTTACTATTGACAACACAACATACATATATCGTTTGTCACTATTGATCTATTTTCAATTTTTTATTCATTATTATTATTATTATTATTATTATTATTATTACTATTATTATTATTATTATTATTATTAGTATTATTATTATTATTAGTATATTATTATTATCATTATTAGTATTATATATTGTAATTTAATATATATATTTTTTTATGAATTTTATTATTATTATTATTATTATTATTATTATTATTATTATTATTATTATTATTGTTATTATTATTATTATTATTATTATTATTATTATTATTATTATTTTTATTATTATTATTATTATTATTATTTTCATTATTATTATTATTATTATTATTATTATTATTATTATTATTATTATTATTATTATTATTATTATTATTATTATTATTATTATTATTATTATATTTTTGCCCCCAAGCCCTGATGTGGGTCATTGACCTGTGCCCTGGTGGGCTAATCCCGTAAAAAAAAAATCCGGTCTACAATTGCATATCAGGGATTTCGCGTACCCTGTAATTCCAAAACTGTTCAGAAATTTCTTGTAATTACTATGACCGAGAGTTAACTTATTCATTAAATATGTTAGGTTAGGTTAGCTTAGTTTAGCTGACGGTCGCAGCGCCTGCAAGACATTTTGAAATATTTGAGGATTATGTGAAATCTCCTAGTTACACAGACACCCAGAACAATATATTATAAACTTCACCCCAAACGCACTTCATCGGACCCATGTCAGAGATTCAGCTGTGTTTTACGGATGATGTATTGGTAATTATTTCCAGGAAAAGGGAACGTGATGGTGACGGGGGTGATGTGGGTATGTGTAATGGCACTGGTGTTGCGAGTGTTCTCAGTGACGTAGCTGACTACGTAAGGTAAACTATTAGGAAATCATTAGAACACAAACAGGTCCAGCAGCGGGATTCCCGACTGAACGAAGCCGATGAGCACCCACAGCAGGACACCAGACTTGTTTGGGATAACCCGAAACATCCCAAATCTGCCGCAACGAAGTCATACACAAAATAAGCGTGGTTTGCCAGTGCAAGATTTGTATTTTCTGTTCATTTTCACACATAGTTCTGTTTCAAATTGCACTAAAATATTGTACAATCTACTAATTATTCGGAAAGTTTCTTGTGAATTTAAAACAGAGGAGCTGCATCTTAGGGTTTATCATAAGTTCATAAACAACGCCTGACTCAAGAGCAAACAGACGTGCTGAAACATGTCGCTCAAGATTTTTTTTTAACAGAATTCATGTAACTCCTTTTACCTTTGGTGAGGTAATTTTGCTTATTGATATATTCCTAAACAGAATCACTTTTACTGCTGCACAATGAAACAGGAAAAATGTATTGAATAGAAGAGTAACTTAGAAACTAAGCCATATCAATGTCTAATGACATTATATATATATATATATATATATATATATATATATATATATATATATATATATATATATATATATATATATATATATATATATATATATATATATATATATATATATATATATATATATATATATATATATATATATATATATATATACAGTACAGTACTGTAGTGTGGCACGAATACAGTGCAGTAAATCACCCGGACTCACAATCAAGTCATGACCTACAGATATCCTCTGCCACTGCCAGCGCTGTTAGATCGGAAAGAACATACAATTCGCTCAGTTGATGCTCACAATTACGACGAATGGAAACTGACATAAATTCGTACCGACGCATCGCTAATGAGCCATAACCTTAAAAATATAAATGTAAGTGCGTATGTTGCATTTACTGTAATGAAAATAAAAGCGAGAAAAGAATTGTATAGTGTGAAATATACTTGATAATGCAGGTGTTGAAAGTATAGATGAGTGAGGTGCAAAGATTTGTAGTCTGTACTTGAGGCTGATGGGCTGTGTTGATCACCTGATGCTGGGCGCCATCAACTCCTTCATGTGAGTTCTGTACTGTCTCTATCTCCCTCACAAGGTAAATATCACAACATATGATTCACACCAAATGAATACCTTCACTCAGGTTCCTGTCCATACAGATGAGTACCGTCACTTTAATCCTAAAGAGATGGGCACCATCAGCTAGATCGAGGAACCTTGTCCTGGTGAACATCAGCACCTCGATGCCTGTTAAAGAGGATATCATATTTGAATCTATCTAGGTAAGTACTACCACCTGGCTGAGTAATATTCAACAACTTCAGTGCCAGTGACCGTTAGGTAAGATTAGGCTAGGTTAGGTAAGGTTAGGCTAGGTTAGGTTAGGCTAGGCTAGGCTAGGCTAGGCTAGGCTAGGTTAGGCTAGGCTAGGCTATGCTAGGTTAGGCTAGGCTAGGCTAGGCTAGGCTAGGCTAGGCTTGGCTAGGCTAGGCTAGGTTAGGTTAGGTAAGGTAAGGCTCTGATTTAGTTAAGGCATCGTATAACACCATAAGGTAAGGTTAGGTAAGGTAAGGTAAGGAAAGGTCAGGTAAGGTAAGGTAATGCAAGGTTAGGTAAGGTAAGGTAAGGTAAGGTAAGGTAAGGTAAGGTAAGGTAAGGTAAGGTAAGGTAAGGTTAGGTTAGGTTAGGTTAGGTATGAAACTATTTATGTATGGATATATGAATTATGATCATCTACAAGATCGTCTAATAGCCTGTCAGAACTTTCCAAGAATAAGATATACGTAGAAGTTATCGGTTTTAGTAATGTTTCCTATTTAGCTTAATATATATCACTCGAAAACCAGAACAACAAACAAACGGTGTAATCACTATTTGTTTTTATTCACCCTACTGCATTGATAATTCCCTTAATTCAATTCGTAATCAAAACAGGAACAAATGATATGAATATTAAATGAGAAAAACTCCAGAATGTTATGACTATTTTCAGGTGACAGCGTCATAGAGTCTTTTATCTGTTTGCAATGCCTCATCAAAATGCTAGATATATATATACAGTTCTATAAATATAAACTTCTATATACATATGAATACCGACTAAATACCTTAACCATTATTGAAAAAGGGTATCGAAGTGGTTGTTTGAGAAATAAATATTTGTTTTACTTTTAGGAGGCTTCCTGAAATGGCAATAATGAGCTCCTTTTCATGGTGTGCACACCTGTCGCGGTCACCCGATGCCAAGTGATGTCCTTGAAACCTTTACTCAATGCATTACATACTCCACCTCGGTTATATAAGACCATTTTGCCACGATCATCAGCAGCTACGGTTTCTTGTCCAACGCACTCAGTTGTAGGCTAATACTTCTGCAAGTTTTCTCAAGTAAGGTTTTGGGTAATAATTTTGTAAGTTTTAAATTTCTTACACAGTATTCATATAATTTTCTTCAGTTTCATAGGTGAACGACCCTAAGACTGTCTTCCCATTTATAAATATCCCACTCAATACTCGCATGTTCGTTGTTAACGAAATATTATTGACGCCTGTGTTAAGATCTTTGAGACTGTATCCTCATCTTGATTTCTTACACTCTAAACTTCAGCTACATGTGTGCGGTTACATGGAACGTCGCCTGTTCTACGATTGTTATAGTACACGGAATCTGTATTTTATTGGGGGAGAGATAAAGAGATACAGCGGTGGCTCTGGGGTTCATGAGGTACTGTACAAGAGAGCCAAATTTGCCACCTGGCCGCCTTGCGCTCAAACTGGTATTGCTACTGACAAATTATGATATTTTATATCAGACACACACGCGTTTGTTGATGCCTGGACTTTTAAGTGAGAAAGGAAGATTTGGATGAATTTAAAGGAATTTCTTTGCACCGAAATATATATTAAAATTATACAAAGTTTTGTGCACCCACAGTGCAGGTAGAAGATGTAATGTTCAGAAAACTGCAAATTTCTCAATGTAAAACAAAATTATTTTGACATTAGCTTCTACTCTTCATGCTCTTGTATTAGAAATAATGCCACAAATTATTGTGGATAAACGCTTTAAGTATAAGAAATTTTTATTATCTGACCAGGTAGCACAACGTTTAAACTTTGAGTCCTTCGACCTACAGTTGCTTACAACAGACGACACTTTACAAAATTACGTCCTACGTATTTAGGATAATTCTTTTGGTTTACTCTCAGGAGCACCCAACAAGAGCAAGATGAGGGTGGTGTGGGCGTGCTTGTGGACGGTGGTACTTGGCGTGTGTGCCACCACAGCCACCCAGTTCCAGAAGGAGGCTGATGTGGTAAGTAGATGTTGTTCGTGTTCTGGGTAATAAGTTCAATATACAGGAGCGAACACAAACACCTGTATAGTTTTGTAGGTTCGATTTACTGGATAAGAGATATGTACACAAGGGGAGTAGCGCTCTTCAACCTGTCTGCTGGTCAACTGCTCTATAGATGACGTATGGCAAGTGAGACATTAACAGCTTCCATACGTCGCCAGGCACATTAATTAGGCATGTGGGACATCTTAAATATATTGCCACACGCTACTAGCTAGGCTGAATAAATAGTACATAAATGGAGCACATACATAAAATTCATACATAATATAAATACAGCATACAGAATATACATACACCTCCCTCCCCCCTATACGCTCATAGCAAAGTCTTGAGCGGACCTTTTCTTTTGGATCCGTTCTGAGCGTCGAGGGACTAGATCACTGGGAAGGGTATGGGACTCAACACTGGTGGCGGGGTCAGCAGAAGGCATTGTTACAGGGCGGAGAAAACAGCGGTTCCTCCACCACACACGACCACTGGGTAACCGCACCTGGTAGTCCCGTGACCTACCGAGACCCATGACTACGCCTACTTTGTCCCAACGTAGGGAGGTCGGGTCCTGAACACGGACTTGGGTGCCGACACTCAACCTGGGGAGAGAACGGGCGTGGTCGTTGTAGCGGGCGACGATGTCTTGAACACGTTCGGCGGCTCGGCATTGGAGATGTCGGGGTCGATGCCAGGCCGGAACACAGTGTGTCGTGCACGCCGTTTGGTGGCCTCGGCTCCACAGTGACTGTCGTGGAGGCGAGCCAAGGCGTGGAGACTTGAAGCAGCAGGGACAACTACCGAAGGAGAGGTGTCACTGGCCAGAGGTACGGGTAGGGCGGCAGCAGGGTAGTTGCTGCTCCCTTCGTGCACCTTGTTGGCGTATTTTACCTCGAGAATCGGTGTTGGGAAGTCCTGGGAGATGATGGCCAACTCTTGGCAATGTCTGTAGAACAGCAAAGGAGTCGGGACACCATTATGCACGTCAATCCAGGCTTGACACGACCTGTTGCCAAAGGTGACTTGTGCTTGAAGTGAACCTAGGGCCGGGGTCATCTGTGAACCATCTGCCGTGAAGCGGAGATCCTTGGGGGGCGGTCCTAGATCACTTGGAGAGAGCCCCAAGCATTGCAAATGCTGGGGACCGATGACTGTAGCATCAGCGCCGGTGTCGGGCAACATCTGAAGACGGGATGACACACTGCCGTAGGTCACGATGACACTGATGTACTGGGGGACTTTGGTCCTGGGAAGCGAGGGGGAGCACACATTTCTAATATGGCTCGAGCGTTGTCCAGGGTCGTCATACTTCTGATTGGAAGACTGTGGGCGGCCCTCACTGGTGGAAAGGCGCTGAAGCTTCCGCCGACGCTGTCCCTGGGGTTTGTTGGAAGGGCAACACTTGTCATAGTGGCCCAGACGACCGCACACATTGCACTGGACGTACTTAGCTGGGCACCGTACTGTGAGTGACCAGTGGCCCTTATGGTCACAACTGTTGCAGGTAGACTCAGCAGCTGGACACACCTGTGTTCCGTGCTGCTTACCACAGTTGTTACAAAATGAACCGGGAGTGGACGTGGTGGGCGAAGGCGTAGGAGCAGACTTCTTGTCCTTCTTGTACCGGGACACAGCGCGTACAACTGTAGGGGGAGCTCGGATGGCAGAGGTGGCACACCTGGCAGCCTCATAGGAGCGACATATCGTCAACACATCCTTGAGAGAAGAGGAAGAGTCGAGGGAGGTGAGGCGTTGGACAAGCTCCTCGTCCTTAACACCCATCAGAATCACCTGCTTCAACTGGGTCTCCTCGCACTGCTGGTGGTGGCCTAGACATATATCTACCTCTTCCGAGGCTCTCTTAAGACGTACATAAAAGGCGTCAAAAGTCTCACCCTCCATCTGTCTGCAGCTAAACAATTCCCTCCTGTGCAGAGCTTCATTCTGCTGTCCTTTGATGTGCCGTTGTAGAATGTCCAGTACCTCCTCTACAGACAACGAAGAGGTTGGGGGTACCTGCAACGTATGTTCTAAGACACGCTGAATTTCCAAGGACAGGCACATACGCAGCTGGATGAGTTGTTTAGGCTGTGACAAACTCTGGAGATCCACCATTGTAGCATAATCAGTCCACCGTCGCCGCCATTCACGAAAAGTCTGGAAATTCACATCAGGCTTCAAGATGGGCGGTGTTTGAGCTGCTGCTTTAGGTGGGGCTGGTGGGCGTGAAGAGAGCATTGATGAGGTATCTGAACCAGTCAGTACCGAGGCAGTGTTAGAGCCAGGGGCTTGGTTAACAGTGAGGCGAGATATCAAGGTTTCAAACCGTGCACTGTCTTCCGATCTCCGTTGGTGGTCTCTCTCTGCCTCTGCTTATCTTCTGCGTTCGTCTGCCGCACGTCTGTTAGCTTCATCCTCGCGCCTTTCATATCTCATAAACTTCATTAAAGCAATTATCTCTGGAGACAACGCTGAATATCGAGGTGAAGGGCTGCGCGATGTTGTGGTAGCTGGAGCGTCATGGTCAGCCTGGTCATCCATCTCTGCGGAGCTATCATCCGACTGACTCATCCGGGCGCTGGCTCCACGGCTACGTAAGGCACGAGACATAACTACTTCATCTGTGTACCGTGTCTAAATCAGTGTTGACCGGTCAGCCCGTCGACGAACAAGATTTCAGACAAAAAATTAATTAAATACACAGATAAGTAGATTATATATATAAAATATATATAAGGAAATCACCGCGGTCAGTGTGTGTGTGTACGTGTGTGTGTGTGTCCCGGACAGTGAGAGCAGTCTCCTCGAGCTGTGAAGGGGTGTGGAGACGACGCTGTGAGGGGGGGTGGAGACGACTACTAGCGGCAGTTACCCTCCAGGCTTCGCGAGGGGAGGTGTACTCAAGTCTACTCCTTACAAATGCCCAGAACATGCCGTGTACCTTGGGAATCCTTTAGAACAAGGTCACACATGTATGGCACGAAACACACAATGCACTAAACACTTCACAGAAAATCACTGTCACTGACACTGCTCAAAGTTGCTAAATTCTTCGAGGAGGGGTGGCGGGCGGCGGTTGGTTGACACAGGGAAGGAGTCCGTAAGCCGGCTTTCCACAAACTTTGCACTGTCACTCGTAATTATCCAGTAAAACCGGTTCACTGCACCATGTTCGTGTTCTGGGTAATAAGTTCAATATACAGGAGCGAACACAAACACCTGTATAGTTTTGTAGGTTCGATTTACTGGATAAGAGATATGTACACAAGGGGAGTAGCGCTCTTCAACCTGTCTGCTGGTCAACTGCTCTATAGACGACGTATGGCAAGTGAGACATTAACAGCTTCCATACGTCGCCAGGCACATTAATTAGGCATGTGGGACATCTTAAATATATTGCCACACGCTACTAGCTAGGCTGAATAAATAGTACATAAATGGAGCACATACATAAAATACATACATAAAAATAATACAGCATACAGATGTAGCTTCAAAAGTTCTTTATAACCATCATCCAAGTATTCCATAATTTCATTTATTCTATTAGTTTTTTTTCACTTTTACTGATATTTTATATTACATGTGTACCTACAGGAAGATGTCAACAAGGCCCAAGAGTTCCGGCAGGCTGCTCGACTGGACGAGAAAGACCAAGAGTTGCAAGAGGAAGACGAGAGTCTGCTACAACAAAATCATCCAGTTGATAGTTTTATGACGGGGTAAGATGTTGTATCTGGTAGTTACACTTGTTATCCTTGAATAATTATAAGAGCCTATTATAAGACTTGGATCTGGCGTAATAATGTACAAGGATAAGAAAAATGTCTTGACTTTTATGTTGTTTTGTAATATTGTGAGAAATATTATCTAAGCTTTTAGTTGTGCCAACCACAAACACCACACTAAAGTGACTAAACGAAGGTTTGTTGAAACTTGACATCAAAGAAATACGAAGCAAGAACTGATGATTATGATGTACACAGTTACAATACGTTCACTTGTCATAAGATAACAAAGTTGAAAAAAACGAGGAACGCCTGAGATATCAGTAGCAACAAATTGTCTAATCGGTATTACTTTTAATTTTCATTCACTTGTTTTGAGAGAACTAACCTGACATTACAGTAGATCCTCATTAAAAGTTTATTGTTGCAAGATTAAGAAAATGGCAATTATATATGGACAAGGACTACCTTAAGCCAACCCTTTAAGAAGTTGTGCCACACTTAGAATTTTATTCTCGCTAATAACAGCCGATTTTATTAAGCCGAGAGAAACCCCTGTCACCTAGTGTGTTAATCTTCTGGTCTTGGCAGATCCAAGAATGATGCTGCAAGTTCCAGGATATCAGTAAACTCAAATCTGAGGTAAGTGAGCATTTGCAACACTCACATATGTTTGCATACTTCACAACACACAATGACATTGTCTGTAAATGTTGAAATATTCAGCTCATAAGAATAATCTTGATAAACATAAGATAGCTGATCATAAATGTGGGCGTGCTTCACTCACTTGAAATGATGGTCTCCAGGTCTTGATCACAATTCTTAATGTAGAGAATAATTGTCCGTCTCTGTGGTGACGTGACCTGTGTGTGAGGAGGTAATGTTGTGCTTCAGGCCCGTGGACTGTGCCGACTATCTGATGAGCGGCGCCAACACCAGCGGTGTTTACGAAATCTACCCTTTCACGTGAGTACCGTCAGCGTGTCGCTGGTCAGGTAAGATCTCTCATCTGCGACACGTAGCAGACAGATAATGCACTGACATCACCTGATAAGGTGCGTACTAGTGAATAGGTCACTAACCAAGTGAGTGTCATTACTAAGTCTTTCCATTCTGGTGACGACCGTCACTTCTGTTAATCACATGGCAAAACCAAGTAATTGCATTATTGTCTGCACGTGGAGATTTCAACCTCCACTGCCACAGGTGCACACGCAGTTGACAGCACATGGTGATGATTACACGTGTTCCACTGCCACAGGTGCGCGTGCAGCAGTCCGGTGCAAGTGTGGTGTGACATGGAGACGGACGGAGGCGGGTGGACGGTGTTCTTGAGTCGTCAGAGGCAAAGTCCTCAAGAGAACTTCAACCGTTCCTGGGTCGATTACAAGAACGGCTTTGGCAACGTCTCTGGCGAACACTGGCTCGGTGAGTCTCTGTTGTCTCTCTACTTCACTAAAATTATATAATACCTGTCAAGGAGATTCAATATAAATAGTTACATCGTCTGGATGTTGTTATTAATCTGTATGTACAATTCTTCTGTATCAAAGAGTTGCCTTCACATTACAGGGAACGAAATACTGCACAAATTAACAGCCAGCAGAGACTACTCACTGCGTCTTGATATGGACTATCAGTCCGGTGCTCTCCACTACCTCACATATGCTTCCTTCAGTGTTGCTAACGAAGCATCCAGGTAAGTTGAGGAAACTTCTGATAACATAATACCCTCACTATTATACTCTTAAGCATTTAATCTTGTTCATATAACTATATGCTCATGTAATTCATTATTATGAGTATATCTTGTGCAAATGTAATTTAGTATGTGGTGAATCACATGTATAGAACTTGGTTCATTCTTGTAGTGGTGAGAGGTTCAGTGTTACCTTCTCACAGTTATCCGTTTGTGTATTATTACAACCCTCTGCCTCGCCCAAGTTTACACCAAAAGACACAGTGCTGGACAAAAGTGGTATATTGCGAATTATTAGCTTTGAGTAGGATAGGCTTCAAGAGATGCTCTTTGGGTGTTCCCAATTACACAGTCATGGCTGAAGAATAAAATCCTGGGCGAAAAGAACCAACAGAAACACTTAAGTAAATCTACCTCATTTACATATATTTACAGATAAAGGTACAAGACATAATATAAATGCACATCCAACCGAATTGGGAGTCAGGCATAAGCACCATTGTCTCTCACCTAACATTCCCTAGGAAAGGATAAACAAACCTTAAGCCATATGGAGAAAACAAAGAAAGAGGAGAGGCAGAGAGGTCTTTTCTCCAGTAAGGCTGGTGTAGCACAAAGGGAGCCTAGGTGTGTAGAGGTACTGACCCTGACAGCTCAGCAAGCGTTGCCTATCGGCGCATGCACAGATGAACTCCATTTAATACACAAGCTTACATATACTACAACACAAGGTTTGAGGCAAGGTTATAATGGGAGAAGGACAGGAATATTTATGGGAAGATAATGAGTATAAACATGAGCTAAAATAAATGTGAATGTAACAATGGGACACAAATCAACAATTAAGCATAACACAAAATTGCTACCTCTCAACACAAACGGCCGTACCCATGACTTAGGGACCAGGACCACACCCTACTTCCACTCAGGACAAACTCATGCAGTGCATGATGCAAGACCTAGCCGCCAAATGGTCAGAAGGAAGATGTAATAACATAGGAAAACCCTCACAGTATTAATAGCGAGAAAGCCGGCCCATAGATAATATACTGTAGACATATAAATTTATATATAAAGCACATTCCCGTGACAGTATCAACTTGTATACGAGTCAAATCATCTTTCAGAACAGTCTCTCCTACTGCTATACGCATCATACAGTGGTAAACTGCTGGTCATTTAAATGATACTTGTACAGGTATCGCTAACCCCGTAACTTTTAATGGACAAAAAAGGTAATTGCTTATAATTTCTCAGAGGCAAGACGAATATAATTACTGTAGTTCCTTTTTAACATGACTCACACAGGTCATCTTTCATATGAATCTCAACAAGAGAAAATAATCACAATCTCGTGAAATTAACGCATATCCAAACTTTTAGAAACGCAAAAAAAAAGTCTTAGGCTGTGTTTCATCCTTCAAGGTGCTCACGCTGTACAAAATCCTTGTTCGTTTATTAAGGGAATACTGGTCTTGCATGTTTGGTTGTGGCACCTATCCTTCCTTATCCCCTGATAAAATTCGCCCTACACTTGTACGCCTTTTCAACGATTTACAGACTTTTTATCCCCTTCTCTCCATTTCCAGCATTCAGTAAATTCTTTTCTTTATTATCACATGAAATTTTTCGTGAGATGTCTGCTGAAATTCAACCATCATCCTAAACCTGTTTTATAAATAGTATTCAATTGCCACTACCGCTGGAAAACAATGTTCTGTTGAAACAATACACATATGAATATATTCCATTATTTAATTTTAGTCTTTGCCCTTCTTACCCGAACAACTCCCTTCCTCTGCTCGTTTTCCTTGTACATTACTTGCACTTCGTATTGTTTATGAATTATAAGTCTTCCTTCCTACTAAGCAAGCTTGCAGCTTTGTTTGATTATCGTGCTTAATGGTGACTGCATCATCATGCGTGTCGCTGCTGTCTTGTACTTCTGGCATTGTGTATTACTGGAAAAGTAAGGTCAATATTATGAGGTCCATATAGTTCAGAAAGACAAGTGTTTGTAGTTTATGTTCCCCTGCACATGTATAAATAATTTTATGATATAGATACAAGTTGTACATGGCTTACTGCTACAAATACGGACATTACTGTTACGTAATGTACTTGTTTCACTTTTACAGATACAGAGTGACAAGGACCGGCAGCTCATCAGGAACTGTGTCCAGCAACTGCTTCTACTCCAGAGGTTCATCCTTCACTACCTATGACCGCGACTTCGACTCCTATAGCGGTATGTTAGCAACGTTTGTTACTTTAATATCATCCATATAATATTGTAACGAGAAAGAAGCTTCACAAGATACTAAAGGTAGACTTGTGTGATCACTCGATGCAGAGTAGAGACTGTTTAAACTGTAAGATGGAGGTTATATTGGTTTAGATCTTATATCGTAAATCTGGGAATAATATTTAAGTTGCGTTCTCAAGTTGATTCAAATTAACTGAAGCATACAATTACAATCAGCGAGAAATGATAACTGAATAAACTAGGAGATGTAAATGTAGAACAGAAAATTTGATTTACACAAAAGCATCTCAATAAATTCAGTTCATTCAAGACATGGTAGACTACATGGTCGAGCAAGAGCATAACGACCAACGAGTGCCTGCATCTTACACCCAGAGTTCAATGGTTGATACCAATTATATTGTTTTGAAAATCTGAAGAATTTTTTCTGGATCAACATAATCATGTGTAGTAAAATTACTGAGATTTTGTGTATGGTGGCGCTGTGACCATTATTTTACGTACGTTTATGATCTTTAATACTAAAGTGATCATTCGTACGTTTCTACGGAAGACAGACAGATGAATGATTTACACAGTGATGAGAAATAAGAAAATAGATTCTTACTTTATCATAATATATTCACACATAAATATCCAAGTTATAAACAGTTTTCCCAGACGTCCTGTACCGTCCACGCGGAGATGGTTGAAGCTTTCTAAGTCATATTCACCAAACGAATAAAGAGCCGAGGACTGTGTTTTTTTTTATTAGTGAGATTTTTGAGTTACCAGTGATTATCCAGCCCCTCATCAAGTATAGGTCCAGTTAAGTAGTGTGTAGTCAGACTGATGTATTAATCTCATGGACAGGTAACTGTGCGTCTGTAAAGGGTGGAGGTTGGTGGTACTATAACTGCCGCTACAACAATCCCACCTCGCCCTACAACCAGGGCCTCAACTACACCTGCTACTACAACAGTGTGGTGAGGGTCTCCAAGCTACAGCTCAAGATACGACCAGCAATCTGCGACTCTCCCATCAAGACCATCAATGCCAACTCCTATAACTGTGGTGGATGTGAATAGAGCAAACAGGGTACGACCTGACCTGACCTGACCTGAGGACTCGGATATATGGCTAAGACCAAGACCCACAGCCTCACACAACAACAACTGTCAACACGCCATCCTAGACTGGTGGCACGGATGGTGTGATACACTTACTTGTGTCTTGTTCTTTACTACCATAGATGTAGTACATAACTTATGGCAACATGATCCTATATATTTGTTATGGTATAAAGCACATAGGAGTTTTATATCTAATGGAAGAAACATTAAACTAAACGAAGAAATTATACACTGAGTACGTCATTAAATATGACTGGAGAACACTTCAGGAACCAGAATAGAACATCGCACTATTGTACGACTACTGGAGTGTAATGGTGATTTGTCATAATATCTAACAAATATATATATATATATATATATATATATATATATATATATATATATATATATATATATATATATATATATATATATATATATATATATATGTATATATATATATATATTTATATATATTCTGAGTGTCGGATAAAGACTTGTGGTATAGTGTTTGTAAATGATGAGAACATAAACATGTTGATACCCACCATCTGTGCTGTCCCACACCCATCAACAACACTGTACAACCTATCTTGTCACAACTTTAACACCAATGTTATAACAACCACAGTTCAGGTTACATGAGACACATGTGTAATTACTTGTAAACCTGATGTTATAGCAACACCAACCGTGCTATACAAATGTCTTCCAGCAACACCACCAGTACTATACAAATGTCTTACAGCAACACCACCAGTACTATATAGATGTCTCACAGTAATACCACCAGTACTATATAAATGTCTTACAGCAACACCACCAGTACTATATAAATGTGTTACAGCAACACCACCAGTACTATATAAATGTCTTACAGCAACACCACCAGTACTATATAAATGTCTTCCAGCAACACCACCAGTACTATATAAATGTCTTACAGCAACACCACCAGTACTATATAAATGTCTTACAGCAACACCACCAGTACTATACAAATGTCTTACAGCAACACCACCAGTTCTATATAAATGTCTTCCAGCAACACCACCAGTACTATAAAAATGTCTTAAAAGAACACCACCAGTACCATACAAATGTCTTCCAGCAACACCACCAGTACTATATAAATGTCTTACAGCAACACCACCAGTACTATATAAATGTCTTCCAGCAACACCACCAGTACTATATAAATGTCTTAAAGGAACACCACCAGTACTATATAAATGTCTTACAGCAACACCACCAGTACTATATAAATGTCTTACAGCAACACCACCAGTACTATATAAATGTCTTACAGCAATACCACCTGTACTATAAAAATGTCTTACAGCAACACCACCAGTACTATATAAATGTCTTACAGCAACACCACCAGTACTATATAAATGTCTTACAGCAACACCACCAGTACTATATAAATGTCTTACAGCAATACCACCAGTACTATATAAATGTCTTACAGCAACACCACCAGTTCTATATAAATGTCTTCCACAACACCACCAGTACTATAAAATGTAAGAATACACAGTATATATATGTCTACAGCAACACACATTCTATATAAATGTCTTACAGCAACACACCAGTACCATACAAATGTCTTCCAGCAACACCACCAGTACTAT